TCCTCGGTGGAGCCCAGGTTCTCAATCTCACTGGTCACTTCGGCTATCTCATCCTTCAGACGCTGTGGTGACAGGGCATGAGAGGGTTCAAATAATAACGCCACACCATCGTGGGCAATACAGATGAGAAATTAAACAACACACATACACACACACACACACACACACACACACGTGTCTGTGAGTGAAACAGTAAACCAAACAAGAAACATGGTGTCCTAAAATGGAATTTTCCATCAGCAAGGACTTTTAAGCAAATCTGTAAATTGAGCAAAGTAGATCCGGCTACTTTTACGCGTGTGGGAGTGTCAAAAAGAGAGAAAGTTTGAGCTACTTAATCTCGAACCTCCAGGAATCACTCGTTTAAAAAGAAAGAAAGGCTGAACAGAGGAGAGTCTGCTGGTAAAAAAAAGATCGACAGAGCTCGTAATAAAACAAGAACCAACATAAGCTTGGCTTTTCAGAGATGGCGAGAGTAGCGCGGACGCAAGGAAGTGCAATGTTAGGGCCCTATGAAATCTGTTTCACAAATACAGTTTTTTCCATTTAAATTCCATTTAAATTTTAACACAAATTGTGTGTGTGTGTGAGTGACAGAGCGGGGAAAGGAAATACAACTGAAATAATACGCTGCAAGTGTTAAAGAAATGAACGAAATGCAATATGTGGCGGCGAATTAGTCTGTGTGGGAAACACTGACCCCTAAAATCCACTGGATCCATCAACGGCGCGGAATGTCAGCGTCGCGGATGCCGGAGCTAATCGCGGCCATTATAGTCAATCCTCTTAAGTCCACCAGCTGCGGACGCAGCGCATCTCAGAAGCGTCTCTCCGTTCCGCAGAGAATAGGTAGCAGGTCTATTTTCGCTTTTTAAACTAATTTTTTAATTTTTTAATAATTTTCTATTTCAAAGAGCACAGAGCACATCCGGGCAGGAAGTCAGACACAGAACGGCGTAGAGGATCCGGTAGATTTTCGAAATAAAACACCTTGTGGAGACTGAAGAAGTCACCAACGCTCCGCTGCTGAAACGCGTCTGAGACGCTTCCAGTAGACTTTGACGGCGAGCTAGGGACGCATCAAAAACGTGGCACTGACGTTCCGCGAAGTAAACGGATCCAGTGGATTTTAGGGGTAAAAGTTACGTGCGAACTGCTCAGCTCGGCACTGACGGCCTATAGCGTTGAGTTTCTTAACTTTTTGCCGACGAAAGCAGAGCCGCTTCGCTAGCTTTCATTGTTTTGATTTCGTCATTGGAGCTGAAATGACAGGGTGGGGGGTTGGGGAGGGGTCGTGTCGCCCAGATTTGCTTCCCCCGATCTGCATTTTCACCAGACATACGTTCTTCTCCCACACAAAAACAGAATTTCAAACCAAATATGTTAAATTCCACGAAATTCCGCGTTAATTTGCCAATTCCACAATTCCGTCCGCAATTCCGTGATCGCGGAAATCATAGGGTCTTTGATGGGTTTAGCTAAAGTAAATCTTCAGCTAGTCAGTTTGAGATCCATCTAAACTGGTTATATCTTTTAAACCTAGTAGTGGATGACAGTGAGAAAGAACAAGTCATGCCACTCGGCCGCCATCTTGGCAACGCCTCCGGGCAGCTATTTCGGACTTAACAAGACCAGGCTCCTATCTAAATGAATGGGCAGAGAGTCAGAACTGCACTTTCACTGGTCACTGAGACATAAAAACTGCATGTATAGACACAGCAGTAAAATATGATAAAAATCGCTGAAAAAGTTTGATGACTTTGCACTAAAATGAGGTTTAAAACGCCGTTTTCCCACAGGTTATACTTTTACTGTGCATGCGCAAGGGTTCTCTCGCTCTCGCGCGCTGCACGGTTTGAAATGCGCACTCTTGCTCGCTTGCTCTAGATTCCGGGAGATTTGAACTAATTTGCGGGCATAAGCGAGCCTCTATCAATCTGCGGGAGACACCCGGAACTTCTGAGAGACTTGGTATGTCTGATATTTACACAACTGCATATCTAAACTGCCGCCTTTTCAAACAGTAACGTATTTAAACGTTTCCCGGCTTGACCGTTAAAAGCAGATGATTGGCTGTCCAGTGGGAGGGGCGGGGCATTTACATACAACCGCCATCTTTGGTGTTACGGGTTTTCCATATTTGTATTAAGGATTGAGGAAGTGGCATGTCTCTATATAAATTGTCTCTGGAAAGAAGCAAGAGAGAGTAAGTTGGCCCTCTCTGCATGCGTCCTGTCCCACCCCACGAGGCCTGACATTAACGGCTCAAATCTAATTCCAGCGGATGAATCGTTTGCTCTAGACTGCTCTGCTTGATACATGACATTAGAGGAGGACAACTGGAGAATGGCCCTGAAGTAAAGACTACAGACATCAAAATTGGATTATTTGACCATGTCTTTGGAAAGATTAATGGTTTTAGGACACAGGCCTGTCTCTTCTGCCAAGAGTTGATGATGGTGCTGAAATCCGCTCTCAAGTGTTTGTCAAGCTCAAGTTATTTTTCCTGTTTGTAAATCACTAGCAAAGAAAAGCCTGTTTTTGTTTTCCCAAAACCAGAGAAACCCCACATTCCTCAGACGTTTGTCCTCCCAAAGGAAAACTGCCTCGAGAACAGAACCACTTTTGTCAGAAGACCTCAAGATGTAGAAATTCGGTTTGCAAAGGGGAGGGAAGTTGTCTTAGTTTTGTTAACAATATAAACGGAGTGTGCTAGGAAACTATAGTGCCATCGATATTGTGAGTAAGTATATAGTATAGTGGAGGTGTTGTAGTAGTAAAGCTGAAAGTGATCAGTGTGTGGCTCATGTATGAGAGTCCTTTTCTAAACATTTCCACCCTGTTCCTGTCCGCTTGAGTCATTTCTTATGTGTTCATACTTAGTGAATTACAAGTCTAATTCTTATTCCACAAATACTTTCAGATTCCTGAAGTTACTATTCACCCTAAACAATGCTGGGTTGTTTTAACCCAAATTTGGATCAAATATGGACCAACCCAAATGTTGGGTTTAAAATTACATTTAACCCAACTTCAACTGTAAATTTTTAAATTACATTGTAGCCCTCAAACCGTATTCATTTTAAAGCCCTTAATCCTGTAAAAATGTGGGCACAGAGGACTCAGGTGTGATGCTAATTTTTATTTATTATAAATGCTACATCACTGTCTTCGATAAAGTTTTGTCTATCCATTTATGGTGATTTTTTTTTATTTTGAGGGTATTTTTGAATTTATTTACTTCAAAAAGTACCATATTTTCTATGTAAATTATGCTTATTTTTATTTTTTATTTTTTAGTTTTTTTAACTACATTAAAATATCATTCCAATAAGTTCTTAGAGCTAAAACCTAAAGATGAAGTGACTTTTCTGTCACCTGGCGTCTTATTTTGGCTTATTTTAGAATTCAGTTTTTCCCATTCATTTCTATGGGTGCCCATTTTTGACCCAAATACAAGATTAAGGAGGGTTTTTTCACCCACTTAACATTGTAGAATTGAGTCAAAAAAATAGTGTGTGTTCAGGAGGCAAACTTAGGAAAAGTAGCCAAGTCTTGTACCGCTCAGATCAAGGGAAGTATTTTTTAAAAATAAATCAAAACTATTTGTCCAGAATACGGTTTTAGGGTTAACCCAACATTTGGGTTTGTCCATATTTGACCCAAATTTGGGTTTAAACAACCCAGCATTTTTCAGAATAAAACATTTTCACATCTTATAGCAGCTGTGGTATAAGATAAAATAATAATATAAACCAATTATTTATTTTATTATTATTTTATATATTTCTTTGTTACTGGATATTTGTTTTATCTACAATCTGCTTCACACAAAGTGATTAAATACACAGATTAAATATAGACTTAATACTTGTTTGTTTGGAAATTTGACAGTAAAGCACTTAAAATTAACTATCATTATTAACAACAGAAAATACTCCACTCTTATTAAATGTGCCATTGTTCTTTAATAGTATCACCCCGAACTGGACCGACAGCTTCAGTGATTATAAAATGAATGTAAAATGAGATAAAAATTAGTAAATAACAAGTCACAAATTGAAAAACAAGTTTTTGTTTTTCTTGAGACTCATTACCTTCTAACAGTGAGTGGAAATGGTGCTCTGCCGCCATATACTGGTCATAGTGGTAATTTCATGTTTTTCTTTTTCAAAATAAACGCGTTGCATTACCATGAAAAACTTAAAACTTGAAGTTTTATGAATCAATCACACTACAAAATAATATTAAAATTGGATCATATTTTGAGCTTTGAAGTGTTGGGAAAAAAATGGTAAACCACTTGAAAGTGCTTACATTTCACTCTTTAAAGGTTGTACGAACCCTGAGATTATGTAAAAAAAAAACCATTCTGCCACAATACCGTGGTTACAGTTAGCATCGCTACATTGCTGGATGATGAATGTTGATGATTTGTGGATTGAAAAGCCTTGTTCACT